GTTTCGAATCGTTTAACTGGTTCGCGAGAGGTTCTACTATTAAATTAAATAAATAGCCTGACATAGGATCCCCTTGTCTGATGCCTCTTTCCATTGTGATTTTTGGGCCAAGAAAACCATCGAGGAGAATGCGAGAGTGTAATGCTGGATTGAGGTAAAGAGTTTTAATGAGTTTTCTGAAATATATCCCGAAGTTGTACTTATCTAGCGCTGACGATACAAATTCCCATGAAATTGTGTCGAAGGCAGCCTCGAAATCTATCGCCATCACTATACCAGATGTTGAAGAATTATTTAGATGTTCAATGACATCGTACATTACTCGGGTATTTTCTCCAATGAAGCGGCCTTTGATGTATGCGGTTTGGGATGGTGAAATAAGTTTCTGTATGACACTTTTTATTCTATTGGAGATGGCTGCAGATATTATTTTAAAATCGACATTAAGGAGTGTAATCGGTCTCCATCCTTTTGTCGATTTCTGCTGGGATCCTGGCTTTGGAATAAGTTTGACAATGCCCATGTTATGCGAGTTAATATTTTGCCCTTTTTCAAATCTCTCAATCCAAGCACGGTAGAGAAAACCACCCAAATAAACCCAAAATTGTTTGAAGAAATCAGCTGTAAACCCATTAGCCCCGGGAGACCTCCCTTTCTTCATACTCATCAGGGCTATGTACAATTCTTCTTTTGATATAGGTCTATCTAAGTTACTCTTTTCATTTTCAAGCATTTTACGTTTAATGTTTTTGTCGAGGTACGTATTAGGGTCTGCACTCATGTGCTTCTTTTTGTATTTATTTTGAAGATTATCCGAGAAGTGTTGAAGTATTTCTTCTGTGTGTGTTATTATTTTTTCCTCAAGTTCTATGACCTGAACTGAATTTTTAATTGCATTCCGTTTTTCAAGTGACAGAAAATATTTTGTACATTTTTCGCCGTCTTCGTACCAGTTTACTTTCGACCTTCTTATCGAGCCTTCTATGCGCGGTCTACGTATATCCTCTAGAGACTTCTGTAATTCCTCCAAGTGTTTAAAACCGCAGAGATTTGGTTGGGCGTCTAACGCTGTTTTCAATTCGCTTATTTTGTTCGTAATTTTAGTTTCTTGTTCTCTGAAGTTTCTTGCTCTTCGTTTTGAAAATTTTACTGTTTCACCCCTGATAAGCATTAACAATGTTTCGTAAAATAAGCTACAGTCAATTGTAAGTTCTATTGAATCGAAGTTTTTGTGATTTTCGACGAACTCCACAGAGTATATTGGAACAGCATATTGTTTAACGGCGTCAACAACCACATTTTCGATAAGGCTTAGGTAATTTTTATCTTCCAACAACGATTCGTTAAACATCCATAATCCAGGTCCTTTTTTCTTTTCGGTGATATTTATCTGCATTGTGACTATACTATGATCTGATCGATAGCCTGCCTGGATGGTACTGGCAATGAGCTGTGCAGTCATATGTTCGCTGATAAAAAACATATCCAGTCGTCCAAATTTGTATGGATTGACCTTGGACCAGGTGTATGATTTTTTGCCTGGATTTATCTGGGCCCATGCGTCTACCAGACCCTGTTCTTCAGTTACCTGAATAAACGCATCTCTCGCTTTTGGGTTATTTTGCTGTAAGTAGTTTGAATCATTTTTAAAGTCGACAACGAAATTAAAATCTCCAGCAATTATTACGTTTTCTATCGAGATTCTATCAAGTTTATCACAAATATTGTAAAAGAATAAAGGCCAGTCGTCGTTTGGTCCGTAGACGTTAATTAGCGTGTATGTATTCATAAACATTTCGAAGACAATAATGTTGTAATTTCCTGTCGGGCAGTGCTCTTCATAAATAATTTTGTGTTGGGTTCGTAAATTAAAGAGAATTGATGTGCCTCTACTGTTGAACGTTCCAAACGAATGATAACATCGGCCGGGCCATAGCGTATTGAAAAACGGAGCTTTTCGCTTTGTTAAGTGTGTGTCTTGTAAAAAGTACACGTCATATTGAAGGTTGTTCAAGTAATCAAGAACATCTCGCCTTTTCTCTGAACTGCCCAATCCTCGGCAGTTGAAAGTCAAACACTTTAGTTCACCCATTGTTGACAATTTGCAAATGGTACGGTGCTGATAAATGACTTGACATTGCTATCATAAACTGTTGAGGGTTTGGGGGTGGGAGAAGATACAAGAGGAAGGAAATGTCTCGGCAAAAGCCAATCATAACGCCGCCGCCAGCACACCGAGAAGAGTAGACAGCCGTACCGCGCCGATCTCCGCCGTCCGCCGGGCCGGACCGCACCACCGCCAGCGCCATCAGACAGCGCCCCGCCGCCGGCATTTGCTTAGCCATAATAATTTGTGGGTTCAGGTCTCCGGTTGCATTATTCTATTGTCCGTTTGCCCTGAATAATTAGTCATGTTTTCTAACTTACAGTAACAATACACAAATGGCAAGGTAGAGCGGATAGGGCGCTGCAACATACAGAATGGCTTGTCAAACGCATAGATGGCTGCCAAGATATACAACTTCCCTTTAGGAATGAAGCTCAGGCTGCACGGGCACGGGTAGATTTCTGTGTTTTATCGTTTATTATTATTTTTGGCCTGGCGTAGATAGTTGCCTTTTGGTTCGAGTGCTCTCACACATGTCATCGATTTCACGGTCCTTGAGAGATTTCAAGTTTTTTTTTGCAGCCGCTACGCCTGTTTATTTGACAACTTACAAATCGTCTCTTTTCTTAGATAATGGGTATAGCCCCATTCCTACTGGCTACTGCCCCAAAATTGACTCCTATTGATGCATCTGGTATTGTCACAGCGCGTGTCCATGTTAAATCAGGGACTTCGAAATTATTCCGCTTACTAAAACTCCGCAATGATTGCGCTCTCAAATCGCATATTGCTCGCGCCGCTTCTGGCATATCGATCGACAACGGGTAGGCAGATCGCGTCCCAAATTGGTTGGCTTTCCTGTCAGGATCAATTGGTAAGAGATCTGCACAGTGCACGAGTCAGTTGAGGCCTCACTTGGCGCGCGCGCACAAGTAGGAACCGCTCCTAACTAACATTTTAAGAATGGCCGGGCCGATTGAACTCAATGCTGATGTACTGTTATGAAACAGAGGGGTGATCCACACAGGTCAGTTGGGGTCTCACTCGGCACATGTGCACTTGCAGTGGCGGTTTGAATTTCTACATCTCAAGAACGATTGGACCGATCGCGCTCAGAATCGTTGGGCTGATAGGAACCGGGTAGATTGGTGATACTCGCATTTCAGTTGGGTGTCTCACTTTGCAGGGCTGCGGGTTTAACCCTCGCCGGCACAGGGGGGGGGGGGCTGGTGCAACCCCCCCTAAGGTTTTTCGCGAATAACTCGCGTAAAAAGCGGCCGATTGCGACGAAACTTTCATTACACTCGCATTGATCAATTTTACACCTACCCTGAAAATTTCATGACCCTGACCCCAATGACCTTTGACCTGTGACCTCTTTTCTGTGACCATGTTTGGCCGAAATCGCGGTTCGGCGCATGTCGGCTCGCATTAGCCGCGCGTTTGCAAGCTTTTCGTGGTTTCAAACGTTCAAACATGCGATTTGATGTTGCTCCCATGCATTAGGGTGGGTGTCAAGGTCACCTGAGGGTCAGGTCAGGTCATTGACCTTTGGTGACCTTGGGTGACCTCGGTTCACTTTTTCGAGTTTTACATGTTTCTAGGCTAGTTTTTGGAGCTGAATTCGAATTTAGTAACCATTTGAACATTTACGAAGTAGTTTTGGTGCCTTCGTAACATGTTACGAAGCTGTCAGAGGCGGTTGACACGTATTACGAATACCCGTCACAACCCCTACCGGTTGACCTGACCTGACCTGACCCGACCTGGTCTAAATGCTTAAAGACATCATCTCTGATCAAAACTTACACGATATTCGTGATCAGCACCCCGAAAAACCACACAGCAGCCACACTTTACGACTTTCTAACAGGTCCCGATTTTCCCGGTTTTCGGGTCATTGACCTGACCTGGAAGGTCACCCGATGACCTAGGACCTTAAAATTGGGTATCTTCGGCTTCGTCTCGTGACGGGCAACACGCTCGTTTTTTCCGCGAAGCTTTAGCTCGATCAGGGGCCAAACGCGAGGGGGGGTCGTACCAACCCCCCCCCCCCCTTGTGCCGTCGAAGGACTCAAAATGGCCTGTGCCGGCGAGGGTTAAGGCTCACTCTTACGTTCACTTTCCTGTAACCCAAAAAGGCGTCCTTCATTACTGATTATATTTGCTGTGGTGTGTTGACTGTTGATTGTCACCGAACGTAACGCGATAAAAAAAAAAATCATGGTGTACCACACTACTATCACCACGTCAAGGCATGAGCGAGCAAAGGAAGAAAAGTGTCACCGGGGTGATGAAGGGCCGAGGCCAACAGAATGGTCAAGGCTTTGGGTCAAGGCCGGCTGAGATTCTTATAAAAAAAAAACTTGTTGACTCAACACCTAGATCATAAGTGTAGATCCAATTGTCCACTTTTTACGCTGACATTGACTCGACGACAGTCTGGCACGCCAGAAGCTGTCAGTCAGTTGCTAAGCAGTGTCGATCAACAGAACTGTTCATGCCTCAATGGATTAACTATTACTATTTCTCAGCCACTTGCGGGACCGCTAGCCGGCCCTTTATCCACAATGTACTGCGCTCAGGCCGCTTGGTAACATTTCGTCACGGCTCACGAGTCACGCTTCTGTTAAAGGTGATGTGGGCTGTTCAAATCTCACATCGTCTCTAAAGTCACGTCGCTGTGCAACTAAAGTAAGAAATAGAGCTGTTTCGATGAAATTGTTAATGTTTGATTACTCACAGCTTACCTATCTATAAACATATGAAAATCTAAATAACTCCCACTCAGGAAGAGCTGGCTGATGGCTCACCTCCTCGCCTTCTCATTTAACCATTTTACAATTAAATCGGTCATGCTATATGAGTCATGTCAATGTCAAATAGGTGCAAATATCAGGTAATTTGTATATTCCTACATTTGATTTTTATTCAAGCAGCTTTGCATCCGCGGGTCCTGTCATATTTATATACATTACAGCAATCTATTCGGGACAAATGTGAAGATTTGTGAAAGATCTTGTGATAAAAAATGCTATTTTGACACAGAGACTGAACGAATTATAGACTGGAGTCTCTTGGAAAAGAAAGGAACTAAGCCTTATCAGAGCATAATCATCACACAAGAAAACATTGCGCACAAACACAGCCCTGTCTTGGTATGCGCTTAGACCATGGACACCTGGTACAGTGTGACTGAACGAAGACAAAACTGACCGCGTACGGTCCTAATGTCATCAGCATGGCTAATACTCCTCAAGGAACCAGCATGCAACATGGAATCAGCGCAGATCGTCATCAGCACCGACGAAACCCGACCGATGTCGTCACTTCTTCTGAGCTTCAGACATCCATCTCAGAGAGCAAGGAGTGCCCTTCACAGCCGTCAGACTGCCCCCTGCAGGCGCACGGAGCGCCGGCTCTAGTGGGCGGCCACCGGCAGGTTGGTCGCCACCGTGCGGAAGCCCAGCGCGTCGGCCACGTAGCTGACCTTCTGCGGGATGCCGTACGAGTCGACGTAGCTGTAGGAGCCGCGCACCACGCCGTCGGCAGTCTTCACCTCGTTCTTGGCCGAGCTGCCGGTGTTGTAGCCGTAGGCGTACTGGCCGAGCTCGTCCTGCTGGTGGGACTGCGAAACAGTGGCGGTGCCGACGGCCACCGGCGTCACGGCCGCAGCCACCGAGTAGCCCAGCGGCCGGCTGGCTACAGAGTATCCCAGCGGCCGGCTGGCTACCAGAGAAGAGTAGCCTAGCGGCCGGCTGGCTACCAGAGCAGAGTAGCCCAGCGGCCGGCTGGCTACCAGTGTAGAGTAACCCAGCGGCCGGGCGGCCAGCAGCCCGGAGTAGCCCAGCGGCCGGCTGTACAGCAGCGATCCAGAGCCGAGCACAGCCGCGGCGGCCAGCACAGCGCACACCATCTGTGGGGCAGATAAAACGGACACAGGTCAGTGATGTGGACTGGAGACCATTCGAGAACTAGTGCTTGAATGGCGCCGTAAGCACTTTTGGGAAGTATTTGACATCTGCTATTCCTACTCAGCAAAGCTAAGTGCATGTCTTTACATTTATCGCATTCCATGGAGGTTTAACTTACCAGAGACTGCATGTTGAAGCTGGTTGTTCGACTTGAGGAGTGCCAACTGAGGGCGGGCGCTGCCTCTTATACCAGTCTGGGGTGACCCCCGCCCGGCTTCCGCTTACGGGAACCGGGCGGGGCCGACCCCCCCCCCCCCCCCCCTCCCACGCGCCTCACTCCATTGTAGTCGGTCGATACTAATAACCTTGTTGATCGCGGCACGCGCTATGCGAGCACTACCTGACCGATGTTTTTGCCTTGTTAGCGCTGGCCAACTGCATAATAATTGGGGGCGATGTTTGAGTGCCCAGCAGCTTTTTCTTCCTAGCGACAGCACAACTGTGTATATACGCGGCGCCGAACTTTTTCAAAATAATTGATTCCGATCGCTTACATTGCTGTCATTCAAGAGAAAGTTCAAAGTTGTATTCTATTTATACATACCAGTACCTATAACGCCTTTTGGGGCGACTAACGGAGCGAGCGAGAGGGTGAGCCTTGCACGTGCGAAATTTCGAGGGGGTACCTCCAGCTGACTTGTGCACGGCACCCTACTAACCGGTCTCTAGCGATGTGCCAAATTTGAGCACAACCGGCCCAGCCGTTCTCGAGATCTGGAAGCGGCACCCTGCACGTGCGCACGTGCAAAATGGGTCCCAACTGACTTTTGCACGACACCCTACTAACCGGTCCCTAGCCATGTACCAAATTTGAGCGCCATCGGTCCAGCCGTTCTCGAGATCTGGAATCGACCCCTGCACGTGCGCACGTGCAGCAGCACCCCAACTCCGGCACATGGATACGCATTGCCTAGTGGGTGCCTACCTGCATGCCAACTTTCAGCGCAATCGGCCAAGTAGTTACCGAGATATTTCAACAATTACAAAAGTGACACCTCTTCGTTTTGCACGTGGCACGTGCATAAGGGGTCACCCACATGCATCGGGAATAGTCCAATACTTGGTAGAAGGAATGAAGCTACCCTACAAAAATTACCGCATGTAAATCGGTCAAGTGGTTGCTGAGATATAAGCGTCGCAGAATCGTGACCACGGCCGGCCGGCCGGCCGCTCATACTCAGAAATTTCCGTTATTCTACGTAACCGAAGGTTTGTTGTCAATAGTTAAAACACTATTCTTTAATCTTTAGCATTGTGTTTTTCTATTGACAAACAAATCTGAGTTCCCTGACAATTTGGCAAAAGCTTAAGACTCCGCTCGCTTCGCTCGCTCCGTAATAAGTGGATGACGCTTTGATTAAAGCAGGGGTCGGCAAATGGTGGGGCATGCCCCCTTTGGGGGTAATGGCGCCCTTCGGCGGGGGGTAATGAGGGCCTCTGAGAAAGCCTCATCTTTTTTAGATTTAATGGCTCCCTTGATGGGACAAACATCGCAACTGTTGTGCCCCAGGATTCAAAGATTAGTCGAGGTCAAACGCACAAAGCATGAACTGATGAGCTGGCGCATGTCAATTTTCATGTAGCTGCTCACCATTCCGTACAGTCGTTGAAAGTAACTGTCATGTACCAACCGGCGCTCGTCTATTGGCGTTTTCACAGTCACTAACGCAAGGCAGAGGAGTCGTCCATGGCACCCTGACCTGGGCACCTCGGTCTCTGAGCTGGAGCTTTGCAGAAAAATTGAGCTTGTTGCCCGTGAAGATAAGCAGCCGCTGCTACCCAATTTAAAGGTCGTTGGTCATTGGGTGAAACTGCCGAGTAAATCGGGTCCTGCTGTAACTTTTTGAAGTGAGATTTTGTGGCCTGCCATGATCTCAAGAAAGATCCCACAAGTCAACGGTTATTCGGGTTAAGGTCATGCCATTTTCAGGAGAGATAAAAATGATCGGCTCGATGGTACAGTTTTTTTTTGTAATCCGACCCTTTTAACGTGATCTATTCCCGAAAAATACCCGCTACCCCTATACGTATGGGGGTTAACCCGCGCCCCGCTGGGGCTCCTGGATTTCCACGCCCTGCTGGAGGTGGAGGTTGAACACCCCCTACTAACTTGGCTACTGGGTCACTAGCGAAACGCCGTAGTCGGCGATCGAAAGAGCGTAAGAAATGATGAAGAAAAAAATATGGTCACTTTTTAGGTCAAATCAAAGGTCAGGTCACCAGAGGTCATCTAAGGTAAAATTTCGCCAATTTCCAGGTCAACCTTTGACAGTTTTCGACAAACTGGCCTATAGCTCAGGAAAGGATAGAGCTACAGCGCTGCGGAAAAACGCATTCGATAGCTCTCTTTAACGTTTTTTTCTGATGCCTGCCCCTAGATTCAACCGAAGATTAACGGTTTAGCCTGCAGGAGACAAAAATTGCCAAAATGTACGTTGCTTGCTGATAGTTTTTCTTAAATAACTTGTCACTCAAAACTTGCAAGAGCTCACTTTTATCAGCATCGTGATCCTCCCGTCGAGAAACATCGAAGGTTTTGTTTTGTTGCACATCAGTCGATCCGTATCGTCGAGCTGAACACATCTAAGGCATTTTCATCGCTCTGGCATGCCTTTATCAAAAGTTATTAGCTAAAAGCTGTTAGATACCATTCATGATCTGAAATGACCTCAGGGACATACAGTGGGGTTACGGGTGCAATTTTCCGGTTCAGCGGTCATGTTTACTTGTAAATAAGAGTGTCACAGTGTTAGGAATGACACTGGTCCAAAAGAGGCGCCTTTCAATTTTCTACCATTTACTTTGCGCCCTCTCCCATTGATAATGGGAGAGGGCGTGAAATTGACCTTAACTTTGGTCACCGACATCAAATCTCCGAGATACAAATTTTGTACATGCTGTCGCCTTTATCAATTCCTGAAAGTTTGAAAGAGACCTGTCACTCAATGCAGCTAAAGCAGGCGTTACAGTCTTTACTGAGGTGAGGTCACTTGACGTGATCTGGTGACCTGACCTTGAGTGACTCTGGTCTGAAATATTCACAACATCTGCAGAAACGATGTATGATCAATTGTTCCAAAATGGGTGGCGCTCCGTGCCAACGTTTTTGAGATATTTGCGAGAAATCGCAGGGGAGGGGGCCTGCGGTTTCTCGCAGATATGGTGCCCAAAGAGTCACGTAAAAGTATGGAATTTCAGTAACCGTGGTTGTATCAGCAATGGGGGCTGGTAGGTGGGGGTAATGGCCCTGCCTGGCGCCAAAAAAGGGGGCACGACCCCGGAGGACCTGCCGACCACTGGATTAAAGGGACTATCCCATGCACCTTCTAAAATGTTGTTAAAACCAGTTAAATTGTGCCCGACTTTATAGATTGGATGACCAGGAACACGGTTCTGGCATTTATTTTTCATTAAACATCTTAGGCTTCCCATATTCCAAACACAAACTTTCAAATATGTGACGTCACAGCCCAAAATTACCTCCTTCCCCAGGCCACATTACTGTCATAAAGCTGATTCTTTTTACTCTGTAGGCACCACAACAAAGTTCAGACCAAGTTTTAAGCGATTTTTCAACGAACAAACCCATTTAAATCAGAATGACTAAACGAGGTGACGTCACACTAACGGTCGCTCCATGTTGAACATAGGGCCTTGTACAAGGCCCATTTTCAAATGAAGGGAACGAATTTCTTCAACACCAAGAGGCCGCGGGGTTTGCAACCTAGATAGATGGTGGTTTCTGAACCTCGCCGCAAACTTGGCTATCTCAACTCAAACCCCATGTTAAAGGTGGGATAGTCCCTTTAACCCTCGCCCGCACATGGGGGGGGGGTGGTTGCCACCCCCCCCCCAGGCAGTCTTTCTGCTCTGCACTCAACATTTTTAAAGCTAGAAGGCTGATTTTTCGTATAGCTGCTCCTCTATCCTTTCTTGATGTCCACTGAAAATTTCAAGTTTCTGTGATTTTTGGTTTCGGAGATATGACCTTGTTTTTCAGGTCATGTCATGACCCAAATGGCCAATTCTCAACATCTTGCGTTTGCCATGGGCCTTGTGAGCTTTTGACACTTTGATTTCGGCCTTTTTTGCCAGTCTTACCTCCCACGTATCATGGAACATGTTGTTCGACGATGTACAGGGGTCAAGGTCAGGGTCAAGGTCAACCTAGGTCATCTAAGATAATTGCGTTTTAGGCAAGCGGAATTTACTTTTTGTGAAGTTTTTTGACTGCATTTTTGGTAAAAGCTTCTCAGATCATGATTTCATGTGATATGGACCCAAAAACAATCGGTGCACACATCAGTATACACACAGACACACACAGACATACAAACACATATAATTGACCTTGACCTAACTTGACCTGAAATGACCTCAGCAGCAAAATTTTGGTCGGATAGTGTGACAAAGAGGTTCTAGCTGGCTTGGCACCAGAAAACAGCATCGTCATCGGTATTTGATAAGCAGCGCACTTGATATCCAACGGTGACCCAAAACAGCAACATTTTTTAGTTTGACCTGACCTGGAAGGTCAATGACTGACCTGAGAAGATAAAACTGGGTATCATTGGATTCGTCTCTCCCCAAAGAATCTTTTTGGTCTTTACTGCTAAGCTCTATCTCCAACAGGAACGAAATGGCGCGGGGGGATGGCAACCACCCCCCCCCCCCCCATGTGCGTTCTAGGATGGGAAAATGGCATGTGCGGGCGAGGGTTAATACACGGCCTTAAAGGAAGACTGCCACCTTCAAAAAGTTTTCTCAGATCGGCCTATGATTTATTCCCTGGACAAAACAAAATTTTAGAATTCACCTGGCAAAGTATCATCACGTGAATCGCGAAAAAAATTGTCGATTTTCATACAATTATCAATCGGTTAATGTCTAGCGACAATGTTTACACATCACTAGACTTCAAGGTCATAAGATTATTACATTTTATTTGAAAAAGTAAGGTATTTTATAATTTACTAATATATGATTTCATGAGAAATTGGCCATGTTTAATTTATTTTGCATTTAAGTTCGTAAAACATTAAAAAAAATCATGGCTCATTTGGAATGGGTCTGGCCCATGTTAAACCCCATTTCCCACACTTTTTTGGAAAAAATGAACTACTGAATATATAAGTTTAACTTTTATTTTGACACTCCAATATTCTTCTCTGATCTCGAAACAATCAAAGTTTTGGCATATATTTACCAAAAGATAAGAAAATTCATGTTTCAAAGTTATCGATAAACAGTAGAGATGTCGGTTTTCTTGGACTAAAAAAATGGCATCAAACTGAACTTTGGTCTCCGATTTCTCGCAAACGGGTTCGAATTTCGGAAAACCGACTTCAGTCTGGGACATAGGTGGCTCAGCTCTAGTGAAAACCGTTTTGTGGAAAAAAGGTGGCAGTCTACCTATTCGTCGCGATGCACCGGAACATTTTTCAAGCTCATCGCATACATTTCATTAGAAACTCAAACCAGCCTTACCGTAATAACGATAGATATATCACAGGCAGCGTGTGAAAACGGGCAGATATACCTATACATCATGACATAACTTTGTCGTTATATGAACAGGAGATCGCTTTGGAACATTACCACAGGACACAGCTGAAAGATTCACTCACTAGTCCATACGTCAGGATATTGAACAGACATCGCACCTACATTAGACGTGACTATACAGCAGGGCAACATCCTGACAAATAGCAAGATGGATATGGTGGCTAATGAGTTAATGTAGCAATTCGTACCTGCAACGTAAAAACGACGCAACGGCGTGACATTGGCGTAATGAGGTGCAGTAAAGTGGCATCCTGCAACAATGTGCGATTTCTTTTGACCACAACGGAAGCTTGAAGCCAGAGGGATGAGAATGAACACAGCTAGACGAAACCGATAGATACATATATACTGAAAAAATAATCGGTAGGGGAATTCACCCACATGAGTTTTAAACGTCTCTACCAACCTGCGAAAAGCGGTTCAGCTGTACTGACTCACCATGAAAAGAGAGAAAAATCATATATCACCCCCAGCCAGTAGGCGTCACGTTTAGACACGTGCATTTGTCTGGCTGATATCATCACATCACACCCAGCGCGCACCTGTCCAAAGTCCATGGCCCAGTAAAGGCAGCCCGAGCCGCTCGCCACCCACCGTCCGCCTTCCACCGTCCGTCACTCGTCATTCGTCGCCCGTCATTCGCCGCCCGCCTTCCGTCGTCCGTCGCCCGTCGTCCGTCGTCCGTCGTCCGTCGTCCGTCGTTCGTCGTCCGTCGTCGTCACCATGGCCATCTTCAACGACTGGCTCCTGAGTCTGACGACCGTCATGCTCGTCTGCGTGCAGCTGGCCATTCCGTCCAGCGCCAGCCTTCTCAGCGACTCCGTAAGATACAGATACAGGTGTCTTGTTCACTGTTCAGGAATTATATATAAGAAATATGACATGAAATGTCCGTTGTTCTAAGATTCTATAGTATGGCGTGTAAGGTAACACTTACGCGGTACGTCTGGTGCCTTCGCTCGCAAGTGAGGATGCTGGTGGTCGCTGACGCGCTTGTGAAGTTAAATTATAGCATTTCCTAACGCTTTTAAAGCTCTTATAAGCTTGACATCGAGGATGTTTCCTAAAATCCGAGATAACAGTTTTGTAGCGCCGTCTTTTCTCTGCACAACCACATAAAGAACTTTTAAAATTGCTTGTAAACTGTAGAATTGGTGAGCGTTTCAATATGTCATGTTTTTTTGCTCATTTTTACTCGAACATGACCTCAGTTTGACCTCAATAACTCCTGACCCCAGGTGACCTGTGACTTGAAATTTTGTGTGAAGGTGTCAAATTGATGCCCGGTAAGGTACCCAAAATTTGGCTCTCGCTATTTAAGAAAAACCACAGGGGGGGGGGGCAAAATGCCCCCCCCCCCATCAGGGCGCGGGTTAACCTCATGCTCCATGTTCTGATCCACACCAGTTTTGCGACAAGGTAAAAATATGGGTATACCGAAAAAGCCCATAAGATTAAGACCGATGGACACAGGTGATGAGCTGGTGAACGATATTACCACACATGTGTGGTAGGTGCTGCAGTATCGGGGAAATGTTTTGCAATATATTGGTATTCATGATTTTTCACTGGGTTCATATAATCATCAGCGTTAGCCGTTACAAGCGCATTCCCGGATTTTTTTGTCACTCCTCGTAAGTAGCGGAACGTGACTGATATGATAATCGCTGGCTACGTAAACCGTTCTTGATGCACGTATCCACATTTCAGGCCTGTCCGGACGGCTGGGTGGGACCCCACCGAAGTGTCTGCTACCGGCTGAGTGACGAGTATCTGGACTGGAATGAAGCCAACGCCAGCGGCTGTCAGGAGCTCCAGGAGGGCGCCTACCTGGCCTCGGTGACGTACGCCAACAAGGCCTTCCTGTCGAAGCAGGAGTCCATCACTGACTCGGACTACTACTGGGTGGGTCTGCGCTCCGGGGACGCCGAGTGGAACAGCGGCACGGCGGCCGCCGAGCCGGTGGACTTCACCAACTGGGGGGTGGTGCGTCACCAGGAGCCCAGTGGCTCCAGCGTCACCAACGACGACTGCGTGCTCCTCATCGGCGAGGTGCCTAATGACGAGGAGTACGGCGCCAGCGGTACCTGGATGGACTGGGACTGCGGCCTGGAGGCCTTCTTCCTCTGCGAACTGAAAAAGGTTGGAGAACCAGTTGCTTACCATCTTACGTCGTCAGTTATCAGAAGCTTTCTGTAAATGCGTGTGCTGTCGCATGATAAGTGCATGTAAGTGAGATTCTAACACTGCTTAATTGTTTCTCACGCAGGATCCTGGTGTCGCCTGCCCCAACAAAAACTGGATAAGACATAACGACGCCTGTTATATGCTGCACGACATTCAGAACAAGACGTTCGCCGAGGCAGAGGAGCGGTGCGACCAGCTCCAGCCGGGGGCCACGCTGGGCTCTGTGGCCGACTACGACGCCCTGGTGAGGATCGTGCCTGGCATGGACACCGCCGCCTACTACTGGATCGGTCTCCGGTCCACTCCCGCTCCCGACGGCCGCCTGCGCTGGCGCACCGCCGACGCCGCCGAGGTCCTCTCCACCCACTGGTGGTACGCCGAGTACGACGAGCCGAACGGCGCGCGCATGGGGCCCGACCACGACTGTGTGAGGGTGAGCGGTCGCCGCTCGGCGGAGCTGTACACGACCGGAGAGTGGGAGGACCAGCACTGCGGCCACCGGTCCCGCTTCCTCTGCGCACTGCGCGTCTGAGCCGGCGTGTCCGCCCAGCCGGCTGTCCTGCGTCGGAGACAGAGCGGAAGGCTGCGTTCTGTGGGGAATATACTACATTTGTGCTGGAATAAACGTCCTAATGCCTGCATTGGTCAATCAATTAAAAGAACCGGCCGCTTACGGCAACGATGCATTGTCAATGAAAAAAGAGCATTGGAAAGGTACCGATAATGGGACCGTATTGGCGGTCCTTTGGCGTCTTTCAGCTACGCAAGAAGGAATCGGCAGACACAGACACCTGGGTGAGCGAGGAGGGGAAGTCGAGACCGTGTTTCCGCCAAAAGAGAAAACAACCAAGGTAGGTGGTAGGTAACTACACCTGCGCTATCTACATCAGCTGCCCCGCATGACACTAACGGTATTGAAACGAAAATTGCGACATTATATTAAGATTGCTTGTAAATTACACCTGACATTTCTGTTTCACCATTAGATTATCATTTAACCCGCACCGTGACCTGGGGGGGGGGGATTTTTAGATTCTCTTCAGGTTTTTCGCGAATTTGTCTAAAAAACGGCGGCGCGCAGCGTCAACGTTTTCGGCACACCTTATCATACATCTTTTCTGCACATGTTCTAGGCTAGTTAAACCCGTAAACAATGCAAAGCAAAAAAAAAAATCGATGCTTGTTCCTGCAAAAGGAACAACAGCGCCAGTGAACCCATAATAGGGCAACTGTCAATGTCTTTTTAGGACTACTATGAACGTCAAACCCCTTGAGACCCCACTTTTTTGCGATAATTTTTAAATGCGTCAACTTTCGTTGACAATATTCTGGCAATGTATGTTTCAGAACCTGCCGAAACTTTTATTACTAAGGTATTTTGACGCCAAACGATTATGGAAGGTACTTCTCATTCACTCGTAATGTTAAGGTCAATCTGGCCCGGGCAGAGGCTTGCGCTCGGCCACACTCGAGCCCCGCCACCAGCGCCATCTGCTCTAAATGCCATCTACCAGCGCCTGCTACCGCTACCAGCTACCGCCCACCATCAAGCCTGAATGGAGCGAGAGACGCGAGTGACCGGTCGCCGGGCAAGGAGCGCCGGAGGGGTAGGGCGGAGCTTAGCGCTGACGTCATTACGTGGCTCCGCCCCATGAGCGCGTAGCCTCTACCCAAACAGCAGATTCGTTCCGTGAAATTTAACATTACGAGTGAATGAGAAGTACCTTTAATAATCGTTTGGCGTCAAAATACCTAAGTAATAAAAGTTTCGGCAGGTTCTGAAACACACATTGCCAGAATATTGTCAACGAGAGTTGACGCATTTAAAAATTATCGCAAAAAAGTGGGGTCTCAAGGGGTTTGACGTCCATAGTAGTTCTCCTTGCAGCAACAAACCAGTGCCAATTCTCTTTCTTTTCTCCGTTAGGGCTAATAATGCATGCTCACCGCATCAATCATACCAAGCAGCCTCGCTAAATAGCCTCGCTAATAATCCGCCTCCCAGTCGGGTGTGTGTATTTGCCCTCTGGGCGTTGTCAAAGCGCGATCTGCGGCCACTTTCACGGAGCGTCTCCAGCCCGGCTCGTGACTCTTGCTCGGCCCGGTCGGTAAGAGCGGCGCCAGGCTGCGGTGGTCGCTCAGTTTCTCTGGCCGGCTGGTGGCGGCCGCGCGCGCTCCTGTGGGCGGCACCGGTGGGTGACACTGGTCGGGGACACAGACCGGTGGGTGGCACTGGCATAGTGGTAGGACTGGTGAAGGACCGGTGAACGGCTGGAAGGACCTTTGGAGAGGACCGCTGGAAGGACTCACTGTGGAGTGTCACATTCCGCATGGAGGTAAGGAAAGAGTCGTGTCGCGTTTAGAATTGTGGTCTGTCCCTCGAGAAGTAAAGTTTACGCCCATTTTGTCTTTGTAGTGTTAACTCTTAACAGTTTAAAAAGTGCCTTTATTGGACCGATCATTCTAAACACTCACGAATATGCCATAACGGTTGTATATTGAATGGGTATTTATTTCAGGTAACTAGAACTATTGTATAATAACTCTATAGAATAGTATATGCCTACGGTATTTATTTATCTAAATGAGAAACAGAACCCATACCGACGGCGTCACCTTTTGCCTTATTGTATGTCGTGTGGAGTATTGACAGGTCAATGATATTTACACGGTAGCTTCAGGCATGGGTAGAAATGATATTGTTCTGCATATCTGTCTTCCAAAATGCAGATCCATAGATGCCACGAATGATGTAATATCCATTGATAACGTGATTCATGGTATCTAAGGCAGATCAAATGATATGTAACACCCTTGGTCAGTTTTTGACCGTGACATGTGCCTTTTTAATCTATTTCAGCCAACCTGCTTGCTAATTTATTGGTCTTGATGGGAAAATATGGTGATTGGTGATCGTATACGAAGTCCAAATGACTATACAAGCATTCCATCAGACGCCTTTGTAGTAAAACATGTTTTTGCAACCGCAATTATTTGATGTCTCGTGCCCTCTTGACACAAATCTATGAAAAGTTTCAAAAATTAAAAGGTTTACAAACAACTTGTTAGATATTGATTAGATGACTTACGCATATGCGTATGTAGAACGAGGTATACTGACTATCGGACTTATCAAAGCATGACTATTAGTTGACCTTTCATAGTCAGTTATTATCAGCGCTGTTTTTAGGAGTACAAATATTTAAGACAAACGGTACCTATAGGACAAACAATGACAGAGACCCATGACTCTTGGCACTTTCGTGTGCCGCATCTCGCTCTCCCTTCATGACGGCCGGATAAGCTGACTGCAAAAATAGCTCATCCATGGACACTTGGACGGCAAAGGATTTCCACAAACAGCTCCTGGGAAAACCTTTCGGTTTTTTATTCTTTCGAACGGCAAGTCACAAAACGGGTCGGGGTCAGTAGATCACAAGATGAATGTGCATATAAAGCGAGCACAATATAAATGCATACGTCTCTCGCTCTATCATCCGCAAACAGGAGATAATGGTCCGGGTGAAAATGCGACCGTTAAAGCTCGGCGCAGTCACATGTTCATTTCTAGTACGTGGCGGCACCATGATCATTTTATTTACTGCAGCTGGGCCGAGGAAGATAAAGGCATGTTTTATGAGAAAAAAAAACACATAATGCATTCCTCACAAAAATGTGCTTATCTAACATCTGATTATTGCTTGCTGATGACCGACGATTGCATTGATATGCGTTCCTACATGTCCTGTGCTACACTACGTGGATGTGTTCACTAGATCGGCACTCGGCAGCTTTCCGTAGCCTGCCGAAAGCTGGCGGTCCAGCGAGACGGTCCAAATTGGCCTGTCCCAGCTCTCCACGGACGGAACTGCACCATCATGTCAGACGTGGCACGTGCTGCACGAGCCGCCCGCCGCGCTGCCGCCGCTGACCGCTGGGGCGGAACGGATACCCGCGGGGGCGCCTCCCAGCCTCCGCACCAAAGGCGCGTCCCTGCGCCACAGCCTTCCACGAAGAGGAGGTATAACGACTCTTATCCTACATTTCACCATCCCTACTGCCAGTGTAAAAACACACGGTGATAAGACATTGCTTACAAAGTTACATGCATAGATAAAGTTGTTTCTCAGCTGTGTTTAATCGGCATCCATGCAGATAGTGCGGCGATTCAAACTGACCACAACAGACCACCAGTCACCGGCCGGACCAAAGCACTTTCGCTGTTGTTTAACGGTCCAGCTGGCTGTTATTTCGGACCGATCTGTTCGCTCCTGTTGTGACTCGTCGACAGATGGTCTGCACTTCGCACATTTTCCGGTCTACTCTGCGCGGCTTCCGTGTCACAGGTAGACTGGAAATTATTGGGAACGAGTGAGTTCAAGATACGATAGATGCGTTATTTTTGCAGTTGTGAAGATAGTACTGAAGACGGTCATATAATCCCCATCCATCTCACGCGTCATTGAATGGAACAACAGGGGTACAGATGTTTTAGATGATGGATGACAAATATATGTTTTATTCTCTTTAACCAACCACCAAAACAGTGTAAACGTCAACGCATCTGTAACTATGTTTCCATGGCATGCCATCACCTACGCCACGCTGTAACTTCAATTCACACAACCCTGGCACAAGCCGCGTGACCTCTACATTGGCATGAGGTGTATGTTCGTGCAGTTCCGCCTAATGGCTATAGGTACTCTGGGTAGAAACCGACGGTCATGAACTTCATGACGTACCCAACAAAGCCTTGCCAAGACTTTCTCCTTTTTGGCAACACGAGCTGTTTTGCTTCAATGGGCATATTTCTGGCTGCGAAAAGGCGCCTATTTCAGGGCGAATAACTGTTGTGAAAAGTGAAAACTACAAAGCACCTTGGATCCGCGAACCGCGCCCCATGTTTTGCCACTTATCCCTTGTTTGCATTGCATTTGAAGATTTCGAATAGAGCTTGGGCATGAATTCCCGCACGATCCGTGGGGACAAACCGCCATTCACTATGTCTGATTGGAGCAAACTCACACAAAACCGACGAGTGGCTGTCTATGCGCTTTTGTATTTTTGGTTTGTTCTACTACATGCACATTGCGAACTGAAATCGTATTACACACATTAGGTCTATTTGTCCATCATTTCCATGTAAAACAAGAAGTTAATTAATAAATCGGGTGGCATCCATTAAATGAAGTGAACACGATGCATTTCGAAAGGTGTATTATAGCGTTCAGCGTTCACACTTGTCCAGTGGCCTAACGACTTTTTAATTCAGTAGGGGCAGACAAACGACTTTCACTGCCGGTTTCGGTTGGTTAAGGTAAACATGGACGCGTCAGGACAACCTTCCGCCGCCACTGCCCAGTCTATTAGCTGGGAGTCGCCTTCACGCCATTTTCACCTATCTCCATACCAGTCCTTGCCGTATACAGATGATCAGGCGGCCCATTCAGAAGACCGCTATCAACTATGTACTCTCCCACAACTATAACCACAGCCGTGCGTACTCATAGGGAAGATTGATGCTTCCCTCCTCTCCAGAGGATTTGTCGAACATCTCCAGAAGCAGAACCCTTGCAAAGCATGCGAGATGAAGATTGTATTTATAGGTACATAAGGTAGGATATAAGCGTATCTCATGTGTAGGATTTCAATTAATTCATCCCAACCAATCCAATGCAAAAATTTGAACTAATGATTCGTTATTAGTTGGCATTCCGTTGGGCTGCAGTGGCCGTATTCACAATCACGGGTTAAGGGTAGGGGTAACGGGTAGTAACGGGTGACGGGTTATTTTTATGGCGGTATTCACTATCGAAGTTTAAACCTGATGGTCGCCCAGCGCCACGCAGATGGCACCACGCAGGCCAGGTGCCGTCTGCGTGGCAATGTCCACACTGGACACCTCTGGACGTCACTGCCACTGGACACTGGACAACCGACGAGGCGGTGTTAGGGCCGGTCGCCCAACCGTCCAAATCGGTAAACTCCGTACCATAATGGGGTTTACTGATTTTATCTCTTACCCTGTCCCCTCATGTGTTTAGCGCAACAGATGCGACAGGCGAGAAAACTGATAAAAAGTGGGCGGGACCCAGATTCTTAGGGAGACATCAAACATGTAAATAGGAACAATAAAGAGGCAAATGTCAACTCTCACTTCTCTGATAAACTATCTGAACCCCTTCAACCGTTTCCAACGCTTTATTCCGACAGCGCTGGGTAAACAGCAGGACATTCAGAGGATGTCACTACCGAGACAGATATCAACTATTCAGATAACGACTGTCCAACAGGATAGGGTCAGTCGCGCCGCGCCAGCCAGTGATGGTCGAGCCAGCCAGATATCTCTTGTCTCATCACATTGCCATGGAGTAGTTTAGATATACCGAAGCGACCCAACCCAGCAGTGCAGCACAGACAAAAAACAAAACAGACAACAAAATAGTCAACGGAAAACAATAAAACAAGTTTAGGTGATGCTATGTTGATGTCATAAAAACAATAACATTCTCGGAGTTCGGTATTCGGGGCAAAAATGGATTTCATCCCATTGAGGTTATTATAATCCCCCCTGGCCCTAACACCACGTTGTATTTACTTTGAGGGATCTCTCCTGGTGAATCATATTTAGTTGCATCTGAGTCCATCAATTAGACAAAGATCGGAGTTTCGTTAACCCTTTCATATCGCTACTGGGTTTTATAACAGGTTCTCAGGAAGGCGCAATACTGACACCAACAATGTCGATGGCGGTGGAACGCGAGCACCCAACTGGACCGAAAATCATCAGTCAACCAGAAGTGTGGAACGGTGACGTTTGAGGCATTTCAATTTTACCCAGCCTTCATACACCGACGATTTCAGGCTATTGACCGACCAGGCAAGAGAGTGCTGCAGCAATCCCTGTTATAAACAGTAAACGTCTCCCATGGGAGTCGTACACAGTTTACAACACAAACCGCAGCATTCACACCGGTCATAAGCAATGGTTTTACGTTTACGGTAAATGTCTCTGGGCTCTGGCATACTAGAGGCTACAATTTTGTTTTCCATTCGTCAGCTTCACTTGATTTTCCTCGAAATAATCTAGAAAAGTATGCGTGCGTTCACGTATGTACGTTTCCGGGCGCTCCGGTTCCCATCGGTGCCGATCGGTGGCGGCCCGTTCGTGCCCTCACAGCTATCACTCACTGTCTCGTTGTCACACGACATCACGACAATTACTCAAACCTGGAAACGGGCGACCACCAGCGCGGCCGACTGCGGCGCGTGTCGCGGCGCGTCCCAAATGATACCGTGTACCGTCACGGCCGCGCGCGAGCCTGAGCGATGGTACGGGAGGCGCCCAGTGGGCGATTATGTGCTCGGGAACGCCCTGCGGTGGGTTGGACGAGAGCCGACAAGGATGGCTGGCTGCAGACGGATGGACATTGGATGGTTTAGGAGCAGTGACTGACCAGGCAGCGATCGTCGGGAGACAGACGTGCCGTGACAAAGTATCGGGGCTCGTCGTGGAGATGGAGTGTTACAGCTTCGGAGGTCTTCACTCTTCACCTTGGCCGTTTTGCCCGAAACTGCATTCAATGCCCACAGTGCACTTGTTGTCGGATATTTTCCACCCGGTTACCCGTTTGTAATTTATTCTTCGATATTCATCCACAAAGTGCTTGTCAATTCGCAACTGCACTGTAGGACTGCAGCGTGTATTAATGATAAACCCTACATTGAATATTATGTAGGTATGGGAAAACTTTTATTCGATTTTCATAAATTCCCTCAATGGTTCCATAAAAAGCCGCCCACGCCTCTATGTAGCAAACAAACGATGCCCAGTTACAGTGGTGGCCCGGTGGATCTTATATGCTGAGAGTTATATCCATACCAATTTTACATTGGCATGTTACTGCAGCGAGTGGACGGAATTGAAAAGTTAAACGTTATGCGTCCCGCGTAAGCATGACGCGACCGACATCTGGCCTGGCGACCGTTTTTCTGGCTTTCAGTCGTTCAGTTCCGTCAATAAACGCTGCGGATTGCAGCGTAGGTACTTATTTCCGCCAAGCGAAACAGAAACGGGGACATCTGCCCAATTGACCCGTTGTGTCGGTCTGGGCACCAATGGCACAAGTGGCGAAGTCAACGTCGCTTTCGGCCGAAAACTTACGGATGATTTCTTTGCCTTTTTCGAGTGAGCACTTTGGTTACTCGTTGTGACCTCCGCCCTGGAATTCAGCAAAACCCCGCTTCTGTTTTAACTGTATATGAAACACCGACCGACCATACAGAGCTCCTATAGTTGGTGGCATTGAGTAACGCAAACACGCTCCGATGCACATCCACACGAGCATTTTGTGCAAGTGTTCGTCACGGCAGCAATCACAGGCGCCGACTCAGTCCAGCGCCATGCATCTGATGCCGTCGAGCTGCAATCCGGGAAACTGAGTGGGAATGCTCCCACGTGACGTCACTGTTGCGTCTCTGACGTCACTGTTCGTTCGCAGGTTCGGAGGATGACGGCGGCGCTGCTGCTGCTCACAGCAGTCAGCGTTGGCGCGATGAGGGCGCCGGACTGGGGATGGGATGACGACTTTCTGAAGCCGCACACGAATGCCGGTATGGAGGCGCATGGATGCGAGAATGTTTCTCACACTTACGCTATCAAATTCACGAATACACCAACCAGTAACTGTCATTATTTAATATTAACGATAACGTATGTTTATCAGACCTCAAGGAGTACAAAAACTACCTTTGTTTACAACTAGGCATATGCTCTTTTAGTATTTCTAATTTTGATTTTACGCATTATGGAACCAAAGCAGCCTGATAAACCCCAAAATTGAGGATTTTGTAGGTATATCAAATGTGTTGATTTTGGTCCGCCTTGTTCCAGAGCGGCCAGGCTGGTTTCGCCACACGCCTCCGATGGCCCCCGACCAGAATCCCTGGGAGTCGCTGAAAAACTCAGCTGGCGTAAATCAGAGCGTCTCTGCAGAGGATGAGAGTAACGACGACGCAGCGCAGACAGCCGAGGAGACGCCTCCACCGAAACCAACCCAAACAGCGCCTATAGAGAGGAGTGATACTGCTCCCCTAGAAACGGAGGGTCTCAAAGATCATTGGGAGGCACTGAAAAACGCAGTGGTCTCGAAACAGAATACAACAGCGTCAGAACGTAGTGATAACTCAACAGTTCAGATCACCGAGTCACAAGAGCCGGCGAGTTTTACGCCTGCGGGACAGACTGATACCGGCCTATCAAGTACGGAAAGCATCAGTCCTGGATATACATTGATAAAGAAGGTAAACCAAACGCATGATTACCAGGGAGACGAACAGCCTGACTTGGTGACAGAATCGCCTTCAGTGAGCGATACCAGCGAGGATAACAATGACTCAGGTGAGCACAAGAACGACTCGGATGACCAGACGAGCGACGAGGGCGCCGAGGTCGCAATCAAAAACCTGACCCTCACTGAAGCACCTGATGAAGAAGCTGCGGAAGATGAAAAGTCACCTAGTGTTTCTGGGCAAGTCAATAGTGGTGATCGTGGTGGAGGTGATGTTGGTATAGATGACGTTTTGGTGATCTTTCCTGACGAGATAAATGACTATGGAGAAAACGAGATAGATGAAAAAGAAGCCTTTGATGAAGAAAAACGCAGCAAATTAGTATCGAGAGAAGATCAAAGCTCTGAAAAGGCGAACGACACCGTGGTCGCTGAGACTAAAAAAGACATTGTTCTCGATGCTGAGGCGAGCACTTTAACTCCAATTTTGCAAGAAAAGTCTGTTGAAGATGAAGCAGCAGCTGACGACGTCCCACCAACCACATCAAATAACTTGACAGTACAAAGCCCACACCAGCTAGCCAACACCTTGTCTCCGGAGGCCAAAGAAGACTTGGTGGCGGGAGAAACACGACAAACGGGCCAACTGGACCCTGTTACCCGGCGCCATCCCTCGCCTAAGGACGACCGGGAGACCAGCTTGCTGCTGTCGCCGACCGAGGCTACCTCTCTGCTCTCTATGGGCGGCACCACCACCGCAGTGACCATCTCCGACCGCCGTCTGGACGATACCGGCGACGAGCTGCGGCGCCTCCTGCAGGACGCGTCCCGTTCCACCACCATCTCCCTCACGTCGCCCGACTTCAGCAACGGCACCTTCGTGGCCACCACGTTCCACCGCAAGCAGAACCCGTGGCTGCAGCGGTACGCGCCCTTCTTCTATCCGGAGAACCCGGAGCCGGAGACGATCGACGAGCTGGAGCGGCGCCAGGAGCCGGCGCCCGAGCTGCGGCGACTGAGGATCGAGCACCTGGTCCTGGTGCCGCCCTCCAGCTACCCAGATGAGGTACTGCGAACCGTCCATGACGCCAAACTGCGAGCCCTGCCGAAGCCTCAGGAGGACGTTCATATCAATCTGGGCCAGAATGACGGCGGACGAAAGCCCACCATAGAGGAACTGGCGAGAGGAGCGGAATATGTGAGCCAGGAGAAAGTACAAAACATAGGCAGTGCGAATGACGCAAGACATAATGGAAAAGCTCAATCTGAACTGCATGAGAAGCCGCCACACTCCGGGGTAATTCACAATGAACCTTTGGAATGGATACCGTTAAATGACGCAGAACAACCGGATGAGAATGGAGACACTCTTCTGTTGCATCCACCAGTGAGCGGCATAGGTCCCCGGCCAGGAAGTGATGCCGGTTCGGGCCACGGCGGTTTCTCACAGCCCAAATTGGAAGATATACTTCCAAATCAGCCAGGTGAAGAGGTCAACCACAGACCTCTGCCTGCCGGTGTGGCGCCAGGCAACGGCTACATGAAGCCAAAACCAGAGGACATCTTGTCTACTGCAGAGCACGGTGAGCTAGACCACAGGCTTCCTGCATATGCCCCGCCAATATCTGATGCTTCCGGTTTGGATAAGAAAGACGCTGCACAAGGATTCACAGGTGATACCTCAGCCAAAGGTATCCGTCCAGACAAACCGAACGTCCTTGTGCTTCCTCCTCCAATTCCAGCCAATGCCGAACCTTCTTTGCCAGACGTTGGCACTTCAACTCTTCCTTTGTCCACCCCATCAGGCTACTCCTCACCCAAACTGCGGGACGTCGTTACCATCTCACAGTCCGGCCGCCTCGTGCCGCTCGCTCATTCCCCGTTCAGTTCACCCGGAGACGCTTCATCCGGGGGTCAGCTCGTCCAAAACATTAACTTTTCTCCGCCGAAACCAGACGACGTGATCCCGCTGTCCGAGTCCTTCATGTATGACGCCGCTCGTGCCACAGCCGCGGGTGTTCCCGAGGAACAGCAAGACGAATACGGCGCTCCGAAGCTGTCCTCAATTGTCGGGTCCACGCGAGTACAGGTGAAGTCGGTTACCCCTGGACGAAACCCGACGCAGGACGTGATAGCTGACCTGGCAATGAAGGAGGTGGCCCCGCCGGAGCTCGGTCAGCAGGGCGGTCTTCGCGGACCAAAGCTGGTCGATCTGCTACGGCCGCACGCAGAAGGGACGAGGAGTCGCACGGACAAAGGAAAGGACGGGTACGGAACACCGAAACCAAGTCATATAATCAACCTAGATGACTTCCAGCTGTCTGCGGTAGGTGTGCTGGATAGGCTGGATTCACGAGCTGGAGACAGCATACAAAAAGAGGCGCAACAAGGGGGCGGCGCACACAGCACGGAAAATGTGCAAGGGGTTGCAAGGCTGAAACCCGAGGATGTCATCCTAGCCAGCGGCGACTTCGTTGGTGTTCCTGACTTCCGGCAGTCTTCAGCAGACAATAACCAAGCATCTGATTCACCAAATGACAAGAACCCACTGTTCAGTGCGCTCTTAGCGACAAGAAGGAAAACAAAGTGGAATACGAACAAAGAACAAGGCGCTTCCGATTCGGGACCGGACACACGAGAGAACTCTGTCTACTACATTCCCAGCACAGCTCAGTCGCCTCCGAAGCCCGGGCACCCCTCGCCGACCGCACACCGTTTCACGCCCACATCTATTTACGACGTGCTGGCCTTCCCAGAGCCCCGCGGCCTGCCGGACGGATCTGCCGTCGGGCAGCGGCCCGGCAGCGAACCCTCCCTCGACAGCCCGCTGTACGCAGACGCTGGGTGGCGGCCCAGTCTGTCGCCGTTCGGAGAGCTGGGTAAGGATGGGGGACAGATGTCTGGACGGCGGCTGGACGAGCAGGTAGAGGATGAGGATAGGTGGGTGTGGCCCCGCACCACGCGCACAGCAGACGTGACCGGCAGGGTGCTCTTCCGCGAGACGTGACCTGGTCTTCAGTGAATCAGTGTCTGGAACAGTTAGATCTACCTGAACTCAACGACTGGTAATCAGTGCTGACTGCTGGTGTGTTCAGCTAATCGTCAAAGCACATAGTTACCAGGTTGGGCGACTGGTAATCCGTTGTTATGTTCGTTGGTCGTCAAGTGCATGGAAAGGGTCATAATCATGGAGGTAGACACAACCCGAGTATTTATATCGAGTGAATGCGGTCAGTGGGCGAGTTTCGTCAATGCCAGAGTAGCAGTGGGGTTGCTTCTATCACGCAGTCATTCAAAGTTAACGCGGTGTTTCCGTGTTACATGAACATTGCCTACGACTTCGTTGTTGCCGGTGAGAAGTGTGAAGGGTTGCACGCACGTCTTGTTATGTAGTTGTTGCTTCTTGTTATGTAGTTGCTAGTTAACAGTATTTTTATGACAGGGTACCGTTATTCCCATTTGAATGTGTGCGCAAGTGTGCGAGGCGAGTCTTGTCAATAAAGTTCAAATTATGGCAACCCACGGCCAGTAATGTTCAGGTTGAAAATCCTCCAACAGGTTCAACAGTCGCAGTCACACAACAAACATTTTCTGACGAATATATCGTTTATTACATTTAAAGAAAACTTTAACATTGCGCAATTAGTGGTCCTGCTAACTGCCAATACATACAAAATGGCTAAAACGCGACTCTAGCGGGAGCGCTGGCCCCGACCGAACGACAGACACAGGCGGGGACAGAGGAACACCCAACACAGCACTCGCTGAGGAACACAACGGGCCCGACCGGGCACGGGCGGCCGGGCGCCGCGCCCCGCAGAGGCAGCAGCGGCGGCGCCCGCCGCCCGTCCGCCGGCCAGCCGTCTAAAGCCATCCGAAAATTAACAACACCAACCGGGCGCCAACTCATTGGAGCGCGGAAACCAAACAAACCGCCAACAAATACCATAATTTCGGACTCAGTCAGGCAGAGCTTCCTTAACGAAACTATAATTCTACACTTTGTAAGAGTTGATTCAAGATCGCACCTTGAAATCAATTGGCAAGTGCCGCGTGTCTTCATATACGCATCGGTTATTATTACCTCGTTATGCGCCGATTTCAACATTATGGTAAACGTTGTGTTAAAAGTGGCACTGGTGCCGGGCCCGTACACTGACCATTGCGCCCGCGCCCTCGGCAGCCAGGCAAGCCTCTCGATTAGACATCACACGCCAGCGCCGGCGTCACTCTCCATTATTGACAGCTCTCCTGGAGTGGCGTGTCCGCGCGCGCACGAGCCAGCGCCGTCCTCCGTCTGCCGGCGTGCATGTGTGTGTGTGTGTGTGTGCATGTGACCGTCGCGCGCCGCCGGCGACCCCCGGGCTCACAGCGCACAGAGATTACGTTTGCTCACAACCAGCGGCCGCGCCCGCCGCGCTCTAAAGGGTATACACAACGACTACGTCACAGCTCCATCCAGTGGAAAGGCAAATGATATGAGAGCGGCGAACACGACTACCCGAGTACTCTACACCGCGCGGCCGGGCCGGTGGCGGCGGACGCTAATAATGCTCCTTATTGCGCGTCTAGCAGACTGAGGCCGGACGGCGGCGCGGGCACCTGACGGTGGCCGGCCGCCGCCGCCGCCGAAATTTATCACAAACCAGCACACACACAGAGACCGAGCGCGCCCCCGGCAGCGGCCGCGCGGAACGGCCGGCCCGACCGCGACGACGGTCACCAGACGGAGAGCCATGCACCGTTAAAGCTGACTGGTAGAAAAGAGGAAAGGTGCTCTCGGCGGCAATCCACACACCTATGTACACATTACGACTGGGCGGGCCGCCAAACTGCCAGCGCCCGCCCGCTAAAACCGCAGTCACATCGTGAAATTTGAGCTGATTGAAGATCCCGAGGACGGCTTCAAGGACAATATAACCGCGCACGCCGGTCGGGGCTGCCTCTGTCTTATCTATCGTCGCGCACTACCGACCCTACCCTGTTTGTGCTAGCTACACATACCACGGCAAACCAAGCCCGAAAACAGCACACGTATCCCGCGCATAGCTAACTAGTGGGCCGCGCGGCCGCCAACACCGGTGATGCACGGCGAATTTCGCCGCGCGCCTGCCTGCTGCTGTGAGTAGCCGGACCGGGTCGCCCGAATCCCTGGAAATGTTTCACGCACCGCGCCTACAGCGTCTCCGTCTGAGCACAAGCAGCCGGGGGCGGCGCCGGCCGCGAGTCGCCGGGCCCGCGCGCCGCACAGCCGGGAGAAGGCAGGGACAGTCACACCGCACGCTCTCGCACCCAGGAACATCCAGAGCTCTGTCAGGGCCGCGCCACTGCCAGCGACAGGGCACGCTGAGCGCAGCACGCCTCTTCGGACCGACTCTTTTGACTAAGCTCAAGTGAGAAACACCGCTGAGAACCCTAGCTACGAAGCTACGAGAGTGGCGCGGCCGGGGGCGGCGGCAGCGCACACTCGGCCGGTCCGCCGTCCCCGCCCGCGCGCCGACCGGAGGCCTACCGTGTACCCACACACCCAACACACATACACACGCACACTGTGTACAAAACAGGCGGGGGAGAACTGGCACTGCGGGCCAGCCGCCCAGCACCGGACCGTACAAAACCTGAGTGCCAGTCTTTGACAGAGGGCGGCCGGCGGCCGGGCGCAGTGATCCGCCGGCCGCCGGCACGCCCGAAACATCCAGCGGTCCCATCCCAACACCTCACGGAAGTCTACACGGCAGGGTGGGCTCAAGGCGCGCTGAGGTGGTGGCACTAGAGATTCAATTGCACATCCTACAGAAAGGCAAGTATTAGAACATTTGACTGTAGCTACCCACGGTTTAATATCTCGGCTATCTGCGTGGCGTCCGTGAGACCGTCGCGCCTCCTTATGGTCAATCTATATCACACGAATAGGATGAGAGCGGGAGAACCCCGTCGTAACAGGCCCAAAGCCGGTGGTACATCACTAATTGCACAAACTTTGGCAGCGAAACGTCGACTACATACCTTGGACTGAACGCTGGAGAGGCGCTTGCCACTAATCAAATGCTATAACGCTGGCCCGAGGCCACGGGCGAGCGACGCGAAAGCCAAACCTACCAGCTACCCAGCGGTTTACGGCGAATTGGCATGAGCTATCATGAAAGGCGTAAGTACAAGTCTAAGCTCCGTAGTGTATCAAACATTAATACCTCTGCGCAGATCACTGGATCGCTAGCTACACACCAGAGAGCGAACACTGGACTTGGACCGACGCTGAACCTGAGGTGCATAGATTGAGAGGAAGCGGAGGCGCGCGCGACCCACCTCGAGGCGCCGGCGCGGCCGCCCAGCCGACGGCCAACAGCCATCGATCACGACGAAGAGCGGCAGCGCCACCGCGCGGCGCAAGGGCTAATTACGTTGGTCCGATGATGAGATAGGCTGAGGTTAAACGATACCGACTCTCAGTTGGAGGCAGCGGCAGCGGCGGCGGCGGCTGGCTCGTCTCCGGGCTCCCCGCCGGTGCCGGCAGCCACCAGCGGCAGCAGCAGCGTCTCGGCCGACACGTCCTCGGCGCCGGCCAGCTCCGGGTTCAGCGAGAAGTGCGTGGTCAGCACCAGCGCGCACCAGATGGCCGTGCGCGTGCGGCGTGAGCAGCGCGTCAGCTCCTGGATCGCCGCCGCCAGCTTCAGAATGTCTGCCAGCAAACACAGGGGACCGGTCAGGCACGAGGGTGTCCGAAAGCACTTGCAATTCACAGAGCGTTGAACTGATCCTCTAGCTAAGCAATTCCAGTTACACATCAGCCTCAAGTAGATTGAATATGTCCGTCAGTTACTTTGTAACATAATGAACTTGAGTCACATAGATCACACGTGTGCCGAGCAGCATCAGGTCCGCGCGGCCACCAGAGGTCGCCGGCGCGAACTGGGGCCGCCGCCAGTCTCTCTCTCCCTCCGTGTATGCCGGTCAGGACACGGACGCCGCTGACCGGGGTAAGATGGAGGCCCGGTCGGTGTCTCCCTCACACTCCAGCCACTCACCCTTGTCCTCCTGGATGCGCGTGTTGGCCGGGTTGCCGGCGCGCGCGCGGTTCTGCGCGTTGACGATCTCCTCTCCGCGGCAGGCCTGGACGCGTTTGATGACCTCCAGCATCTGCTCCAGCGTGCTGTGGATGCTGCGGTGCATGCGCTTGTTGCGCAGCCGCTCAGTCTTGGCCACAAGAGTGATCACCTGTGGGGGCAGGGCGCAGAGCGGGGTAGATCAGCGAGCGATGGTGAGTCTAGCTGAGAAATGAGTGACAAAGCAAATTAGCTCCCCAACTCGTATTTCGGCACGAAAACAAATGCGATATTTTTCAGACGGTAAGAATGAACTGCGTACTTATTCAACACGATGTCAGTCGTCAGAGCGGTCAACGAAGAAGGGGCAGTTAGTTGGATCAGCGAACTCCCCCTACCGGACGGACGAACAAAACTGCTCTACCGGCTCTGCGGGTGTTGTTACTGTTCAAGGGTTCTTAGCGCATTCGAACAGCCGGCCAAAAGATCATTCAGTGAAATGTACAGAAACAAACCAAGGACTCGAAAATCTAGTACCGTAAAAAAGCAGTTTCCCACTGATCCCATATTTTCTGGCGCACAGTTGACTACAGAATAATTTTCCACTTTTCACAGGCAATCAGTCGCCTAGCGCGGTAGGTTGTGCCGCATCATGCGGACTGATTGACACAGTGCTGTCACCCAACGCTCGCCATAGACACGCTTTATGGCGTGATAAAATGCACAACTTACGTTTCAGTCAACTGATAGATTCTGAGGAGGGCAACATCATTCTGTAATCAACTGTACAACATCCACGATCCACAGATCACACGTGTGCCGAGCAGCATCAGGTCCGCGCGGCCACCAGAGGTCGCCGGCGCGAACTGGGGCCGCCGCCAGTCTCTCTCTCCCTCCGTGTATGCCGGTCAGGGCACGGGCGCCGCTGACCGGGGTAAGATGGAGGCGCGTCCCGTCCCTCCCCGCCCGTTCACTCACCCTGGCGTGTTCGCGGCGGTGGTCCACGATGAGCCGGTCCACGCGCGACGGGTTGGTGGGCAGGCGCGGGATGGGGATGTTGTTGGCCGACGACACCTTCTTCCCGGGGAACTGGCGCGCCAGCTCGGCCTCCATCTTCTTGCGCTCCTTCTCCAGCTGTTTGAACTGGTCGTAGCACTCCTCCAGGCGGATATGCAGCTCGTTCGAGGGGCCACTGCGGCTGCGGGCCGGACGGTCGGGTCAGGTCGCCGCCCATACCGGCTCACAGCGTATTGACGGACGGACACCGTTCACCCTCTGACCCGCAAAGCGTTCACTCTGCAAACCAACAGCACTGTGGCGCCGTCATGACCGCGATAATTACTTCAGCGAAATAATACCGGGCGCTCTGCACACAACAATCATGCTCAGTAAAAACACCGTGACACCGCAGCTCGCTGCTGCAAGATAAGAGCACCACCGGCGTCCACCCGCCTCACACAACGAAATTCACATTAAGCACTCAATCACACACCATAGCACTAAACACAGCCCATGACATACAAAAGTCGACTGCCTACACTCGGTAAAATAATACACCCAAACCAAACTATACATTATACACCCTACTACAAGCAGACTCCCATTCACCCCTACCCAGGCTCCCAAGCCCTCCCTGGTCCGGTCAATCCCGAAAACTCACCGGATCGGCCGGAACCCGAAGAACGGATGCGGCACTCCGGGGAAGAAGCCGGCGTGAGGCGGAAGCTCGTGCAGCGGCGGCATGTCGGGCCCGAACGGCGGCGGCGGAGGGGGCGGCGGCGGCGGCATCCCCGGCTGGCCGCACATCGGAGGCCCGAACAGATCTGCAATACGAGCCGAGAAATGGTCAGACGAGCTTCGCTTATTTAGGTGAGAAGACGGTTGTTTAAGATATATTTCAACAGACAAGTGATTATAATATTTTTGTAGGTACTGAATACATCCTTATCAATAAAAAAATGTTAGGGTAAAAAGAGATGCAGGAATCATTTTGAAAATGTACCCTGTGGTAATGTGAAATAAAATTTTGAAAATGAACATAGCCATGTCAGGACTACCCTGCACTGAAACTCATAATTCCAACAGCCGCATCCAGCTGCAGCCAATAAACTGTCGGACTCGCCGTCCCCTCTGACGGGTCACAGGTCGATACGGGGCGTCGTCTCCGACAGTACACGTACCGTCGTGTGGCGGCGCCGGCGGCCGCGCCCCGGGGAAGGGCCCGGGCCCGGCGCGTGAGCCGGGACGGCGCAGGTCCAGCTCCACAGCCGAGCAGCGCCGTGAAGACAGCGCGTCCGACAGGAACTTGCCGCTGCGAACGGAGACAGACGGAGGGTAAGCCGCTGTCATGTGGGGTGGGAATGCGCGAAAGTTAAAAACGACGGAGCCTGCAAATCAAACAGCCCTTTTGTACGATTAAAAAAAAACATGGATAGTTATGATACCGGGGCATGGCAGCGCAGGGCCACGTAGTGTTCTACCGTCACCTACCGCATCTCGGAATTACACGGATCGCATTACGTAACACCCTTCCCTCCCTCCCGTTCACCCGCCTGTCCACCCGTTCCGCTGACCGCTCCCTCACCTCTGTGCGGGGCCGGTGCCGGCCGGCGGCGGCGGCGGCGGTCCCGGGCCGGGCGGCGGCGCGGCGCGCTCGTCCAGTCCGCCCAGACCGAAGAAGCTCTGCGGCGGCGCGGTGTTGTGGTTGAGCTGGTCGGCGTTGCAGGCCTCCAGCAGGGCGGCCAACTGCAGTTCATTGTCAGTGACACCCGGCAGCAGCGTGCTGCTCGTGCCAGAGCACGTCGGGATGTAGGCCGTCGACACTGCGAAAACGCACAGACAGTTACACAGTACACACACTGAGTGGGCATGTTTGCGTCGCGTCAAAGCATGATATATTGGCGGGCCTGGGAATAACCACCCAGTTATGATAAAGAATCATGAACATATCATAACAATGCAATAATATTTCCGCAGCCAGTGCCGGCAGCTCTAGTGTTATTAGTCCGCTGTTCCACCACCGGCAAACCCGTGTAGGGCTGGAGGCCCGCCCTAGTGTCAAGTCTACTCGGCCACGCCGTGCAGAACCGTAAGCCCAGCCCGGTAGACAACCCACCTGTCGGCTCGCGTCGGAAGTTGTCCATCAGGCCGAAGGAGGAGCTGACGCCGGTGCCGTAGCCGGTGGCGGCCACCGCGTCTTTGGGGGCGGCCAGCGTCGACAGGCCGCCGGCCGGCTGCTCACCCCCGCGCCGGGAGGACGCCGGGAACGGGAACACGCCCGAGCGGGTCTCCATTCCCGACTGATGGCGGAGAGAAGCGACGGTCAACACATTGTTAACATATTTGGAAAGCTCGCTTATTAGACACAATAACTACGGAGTTCACACTGCAGTTATGCCCCGACAAAATAACCACACAGGATTGGTACTTGCAGCTAACCGATATTGGTTCTACGACATCAATTTACATTGCGGTGATTGGTGGAAAAGCCAACAGGCGCGAACCCAAAAACGCGCTTACGCCATGAATAATCATAGACCCATCAGAGCGCATCGCATTGGTTTACATTATTAACCACACTAGGCACCGGACAATTTGATAACCTCCACTCCCTGGCTGTCGGCAGTCGATAGGCAGCGACGAATGAAATGACCATTCTAAGCTCGGCTTGCCATAGGAAGCAGGAAGACGTAGGACAGTACCGTTATCGCTACTTTACTTATGAAACCGTACTCGAAATCCAGCAGATAATGGGCCATCAGAGTAACGACGGGATCAAGCCTCTGCGTGCTTCTCATTGGGACTTAGGGGCTTTAGGGCGGGCTCAAACCACACCGAGCCGTTTGCTCATATGGACCACAACAGACTAGACAAGGGGATGGAGTAGCCCTTCCTAGAGACAAATGACGCATCATTTCGCAAAACGCAGGCGAAGACTGGGGGACAAAGCCACACGATGACACAAAGACATCGACGGACCCAATACAAATGACTCGTCTCGACTGGCATGCTGACAGATACTTTGCAAAAAGCGAAAGTGACAGCCAATCGTCTCAGCGAGGACCAGTCTGTTGGCAAATATCTGGAAATTAATCATCGTTTTACTCTGCGTTTTCGGAGATATTGAACGTTTTCATTTTTAGTCCCCTACCACCAGAAATGTCTGTCAATCATGAACTAACAGCGCACGGGACCGTACAAATGCCACTGAATGAGTGAGAACGGAGCCAAAAAAAACGTTTGAAACGACAAACAAAATACGTTTGACAAAACTTATGAGCCTTTTTGAAAAAAAAAAACACCACGGAAGTGTTGTTGTCGTTGTTGATCTGTGAAAGTTCCCTGGCGTTTCCAATAACGTAAGATTCAAAACATTCTGCCGGAAAACTTGGATGACGATAATAATTTAGCACCCGCTCGCAGTCCTTTCAGCAATGGACTACCGTTCTTCTGTAGCATCTGACTAGCAATATTTTCCACCGCGGGACTGACCTGGTTGAACGTCTTGACGTTGTTGAGCAGCCCGAGCGGGTCCGAGTCGAACGACCCGACATCGCCGGCGCCACCCAGATCCGCCCTGGTCAGCTGCTGGTTCAGACTCTCCAGGCCCAGCTGCGGGGGCGCGGCCGGCGGGGTCAGTGGGTGGACGGTCAAAATAATTTACCCGTGGTAGGTTGAGCCAAACTGCCTCAGAGCAGGCAGTTTGACTCAACCTACTCAAATGGAGAACTCAGCAGACCACGTGAAGGTCTGCTGAAGGTCTCCATGACCACCCAGCCACACTGTGACACCTTTTTTCATACTCGAGCAAGTCAATTGAAGTCTCTTGCTGGTATCACGCTGGTGCTGCTAACCTCAGCAGCTGTACGCCGTGTATCCTAAAGTTCTGCCGTGTAATGGCGAAACCGATTGTGTCGTGTCAGAGGTCATAACCTCAGGGCAGAGGTCACCCGAACGTAATCAGTCTTGCCTTAGCACGGCAGAGTTGCGCGCCAGTGACGGTGGTCTCTCACCTCTGATAGCTCGTCGCCATTTGTACTGATGGTGGAGAGGAAGTCGGCGTCGATCGAGTGCGCGCCACCGGACGAGGAGCCCGAGCTGAGTTGCTCCCAGCCGCAGCTCCACGACCTGTGTGGGCACAACGGTCACGTATTGAACAGCTTGGTGTGACTGATGTTAGAAAAATGCGACCAAAGAATGGTGGGAATTGCACTGAAATTCGTAACAATAAAAGACAGATAAACTTGGCTAATTCACCTCCTCATGGAGCAAATGGTCGACTGAATAAGAACTTGCAAAATAAAAAAGCTTTAAACTGACAGACAGCTGCATAGGTCCACATCACTGCCATCACATGCAACAAGTCAATATACCTACTAGAGTGCGAATCACACAGCTGTATATAAAAAACTGGGTTTGACTCAACACTGACCTGCCCTCATCCTGGGAGAGCCGGTCGTTGAACTGCTGATTGTCCTCGGCCAGGTTCCACAGCCGCAGGTCATTGCCGCTGCCCGACGGCACGTTCAGGCTGCTCAGGGCGTCCTCCAGACGTCCATTTGGCTGCGGTAGCAGCGACAAACCGGCGGTGTCACAGGTTGGAAGCTAGCTTACAGAAATGCACAACCACTATCTGACTTTGATAATATGAATGTTTATCAATGGTAAATACCTATAAAGAAAAGCACAACTCCTCAGATGCTATCCAATGATGCTAACTACTGGGCAAGCAAGTACTTATGAAACAGACATGAAAAATCATGTCACCCATGGTTGGCAGAGCAATGAACTGGACAACCATTGAGAGAAGTCCTGGGCATGGATTAGGATTAGGAATACTTCATCCATGCCCTGGGCTTGGGTTGCTCTGGCTCTGCATACATGAAGCTCCTGGTGGGGGTGACTTTCAACTGATGGAAGCAGCCAGAGCCACTGTAAGCCCATGAGTAATAAGTGCGTTAGTCCACATGATCATGATCAATTTTGACCTCAAAAGGTACCTAGGTACATTAGTTATCAGTATTTTATGAATCAGCCAGCATATGTCATGGGTAATGCTAACACAAGCTATGGCTAGTGTGAGTTCTAGCATTGCCTCTCTATCCATTGCCTCTCTATCAATACAAAGCACCTGTAAAATAAATATGCATTGAGTGTGGTTAATTTAGAGATATTGATTTATTTTATGGCATTTAAAATGTATGTCAAATGAACAGACAATTTTACTAGCAGAACATGCTGAATACTGAAGCAGGTGACCATATTCTGATTTGAAGGGTACCATCATTGTATAGGACATTGGCATTCATAGCACCAATGCCATGGCATTCATGACATAATACTTCAACCCAGACAAAGTAAATATTGAATTATATTTTTTCTAAAAATCTGAAACTTGATAGAAGTTAAGTTAAAAAATAAAGTATAAACACTGTGCACTGCAAAGTGTACAGTCAGCATGAAGTAAGATGCAACCTTAGATGGACATACCTGACATACTCCGAGGAAGTCATTGTTGCTCTGTTTGAGGCCAGAGCAGGCTGACCAAGGTGAGAAAAGGGAGACAGTTTCCTTTTCAGTCAGCATGTCTTGGTCATTATGTTGGAGTCCCTCTTAATCCCTGAAATAGGAAGGCCAGGTTGTGCATCAGTTGCAAGTACCACAATAAATAGCAGCAATACCACCTCTATAACACTTGATTGATGTTATTTACATGATATGGAAGAAAATAGTAGGTGTGGTTCAGTCTCACTTCACAATAGGATCGAGTAAAAAGTGTGAAACCTATCTGCCACTTAACAGTACACAGGCATAACAGTCACCTCAGCTAGTCTGTTCAGTGTTCTCATATGCAAGTTTCCAAAATCCAAACCATGCATTGCTGGCACAAACTTAAATCAAGCAGTCCTTTCCCAAAGTATGTGAATTATTTTGAGAAATGGAGCAACAGCACAGGAAATAGGGAGCCTAAAAGACCAGGGAGTTAGGTCCTAGACTTGAAAACATTCAGAACAATATATGCAGCCATAAACAGCAAGCAGTTATTTCCAAGCCCCATTTCAACAATTAGTTCTTAGTAGTTCATTAGGGTTTACTGGCGCGTCGACAGTGGTGGTCATTTTGCGCCCACCATTTCAACAGTGTGCCGCTCATTAGCATCTTCTAGCAAATCAGCTACGCTGCTGTGCAAAGGCAAAAACTACTATGTGAGGTCAGAGTCTGACTTCACATAGTAGTTTTTGCCTTTGCACAACAGTACTGTCCTCAGGTTCTGATTGGTTGAGCCTGATGTGTCATTTGTCAAAACTTTGAGAAAAAATTAATAATGCATTGCAGACTGCAGACTAGGCAATGCATTGTTGATTTACATATCCTAATTGTAATAACTTAGTCATATTTCAGTATGCTTTAGAGGGTGCTAAGCATTATTTCAGAACCAATCTTTTCCTTGATCATATTTTGATTGATCATGATATTTTCAGAGTGGAACAATTAGTTCAGGCAGTCCAAGTGGTTTTCGTCAGAAAGGTACTAGGTAGGTACCAAAAGCAGTGTCATTTTCAGATCCTTCATACAGGGCCCTATGACTTTGAGAGGCAGTGTTGTCACAGGACCATTAAATAGAGCACTCCAATTTTAGCTTATTTCCCTGGTACCTAAGTCACCAACTGAGGTAAAGCACAGGTAGTAAATCACTTTTTGGTCCTATAGTGCACACGCACAGTCCCTAATACTTCTGATCTTGGATATCAAGCAGAGGGCTTGAATATAACAGGATTAAAAAGAGTAGCACAGCTGCAAATAAGCAGATTTCAAGAAGAAAGCGAAAGACAAGCATGGGTCAGTCATGTTCCTAGACAAAAGCTGCGCGGCACCGGTAAGCCCGGCGAGCTCCCATGCTGCACAATCAGCACCATAGGTCTGTAGCAGCCGTCATATGTGTAACTATCGTTAAAAAGTATATAATTCAATATCCATGTGAGAAAACCTTACATCAATGTCCATCAATCACATAAACAATACCTCACCCACACGACCACACCACACAACCACGGCGAACTTTGTCGACCCATGGTGCGTTCGTAACAGGTAAGAGAAATAATTTTGATTATTTTGTCATTCAAAGACTTTTTAAGAATACGAAAATAGAAGGAAGATAAATAAAATATGATCTTTTTATGAATTAATTGTAATCAAACTACATATTTTGCCAATACCACACTTCTAAAAATGCAACAGGTACGAATCCAAATAGGACGAACGCAGCCTCTGGTGAACCGGAAAAAACAACTTTCAGGCTAGCAGACTAATACTGAGGAACATTTAAGATTTATTTTATTCTTTTTCAAGACATTTTATTACGTACTGAAGAATTGTCAAAAAAACACAACTCCGTAATAAAAAGGCTTATCTTATTCATCCCAAACGAAAAAATATTTTCAAAGCGATTTCAAGTTTGTCAATTTCCATACCGAAAAGTTTAGTTTTGTTGCTGTTTGGCTTCTACATGGTAGCATCAGATTTGGTATAATTTGCTTGTTTGTCTCATTTCTTGCGCAACAGTTTCAAATTACTTCACAAAAATAAAAAAGCTAATGGCGTAGTGGAAACTGGAAAGTGGATATTGCTTTGTGTTCAAGGTTAAGACGACAAAAACATTGGGATTTGTTAAGGTAAGCCCAAGGCTATATAAACCGGTAAGCCCCTCAACGGCCCGTTCATATTCAGATTCTTGGTGTAATTCATGCTTCACTGTAGATGTTAAAACCGCAGTGCATATCAATATAAATAAACAAAACACTAAAAGATAAAAGGCGTTAAGCGAATGCAATCCATTGCTTTTACTCGTGGCCATCAGCCATCAGCAAGGACCTAAGAGACAAGAGTTGCTTGTCCAGTTGTCCCCCTTGCCTTTTGGCCTCAGTGTGCACCCTGCTGGGCTGGGGGCGTTTTTGTGCCCTGCTGCCGCCAAAAACGCGCCGCACAGCGCTGCTGTTCATACATCTTTTCCGCACATGTACAATTTTCAGACCCTGGTCATTCAAGGTCAGGGCATGTCAAGTGACATTACTGCAGAAAACTTCAAATGCCTGCTGTACTGTAGCCGGACTGGAAAAAAATGCACGTTATGCCGAATATGTCCGGCATAGTAGTGGGATTGCGCTGAAAATTTTAGCACGTCCAGCGTAACTTCGTTTGGGCCGAATTTAGTGCATGACACATGACAGCGGCTGAATTTTCAGTGCAGGGTAGCCACATGATTTTTTCCGAAAGGCGGTCACCAAATGTAGTCGGCGCGCTGGTCAATCAATCAGCAGATTCGCACTGCTCTGGAGAGGTTTCGGGATGAGACGTCCACTCCCCGGTCATCGCGTTCTCGAACTGGCGAGCCGCTTGAGTCTACTCTGCGGAGGAGCGGCCGTCCAGGTGAGGCCTCAACCCTCGGCGTGGAGTAAGGTATGGAAGACCTTGTTGAGCATAGCCATAGCCAATACTGCAGTGGGTTCCTGCCCACTGAGGTATCGAGGGAATGAGAGCACGGAAGACCTGGCGAAACAAGCGGCCGCCCTGCCCTCAAATGCCCGCTTGCTAACTAGGGCGGTTCATTGTGCGGTCTCGCATCAATGGCGCGACAACTGGTCCGAGTCACTATTCAAGCCACTCCTCGGGAGCACGCCGCCGCTCCCTATCCCCGGAGAGGACAGAGAGGACGCCGTTTCGGTGCACCAGATGAGGGCGGGCCACTAGGGCCGCTCGCTCCAGTACGTGCACCCAACGTGCACCGAATCGGCTGTCTCCAGTCCGCGCAGTCCGCGGCGTGCCAGCAGTGCCCAGACAAGCGGTGCCACGCGGCGCTCTGCGGCGTGTGCCGAGAAGAGGCTGATGTGCCGTAGCACGTGCTGCTCCGCTGTTCGGCCCTCGCTGACTCCCGGCTCCCGCCAGCCTCAAACACACCGCTCCGCCGATTTTTGTGGCTCCGGAACTTCCGGTTCCAGCCTTGTTTCACGGCACGACGCTTCAGTGTACTAAGCGTATTGAGGTATTGGATTTCCATGGAAATAATAAAAAAACTTTCGGATGCTCAAACATGAGAGAGCGTCCAAGGCCCAGGAACACTCTGGCCAAGGCCGTATAACTCTGGCTAGTTGATATAGCCTTGATCGGTAGATGTGCACATGTGCTTTATATAAAAGTCAGTGGCTTGATTTTGGCACAAATAGGCTCCAATTTTGACGCAAATCATGCAGGAATTTCAGCGCAAAATAGCTTGCGCCGAATTTCGGCACAAGAGGGTCTCACGGGCGTCCGGCGTAGTGTAGTGTATGGATGCTTTCCAGTCTGGTACTGTAGCTACACGGACTTGATGATCACTTTGATTTGAACCATTCAGCAATTGATAAGAGTAACAGTATACATAAAGTGTATATCTCAGAATTTTGATATCTGTGACCCAGGGCTGTGGAGTTGGAGTCAGAGTCAGAGTTGCAGTCGGTCGGAATTGACAGTTCTGTCCGGGGTCAGAGTCGGAGTAGCCAAAATCTTACCGACTCCATCTCCGGCTCAACGTCATGCACTGCACCTGCTTGATTGACGATATTGCGCTCGAAATTAGATTTTGTCGAAAAAAGATCATTTTGCTGTTTTGGATGAACGTTTTCAGCGAAAAAAAGCAGAAGACTGTGAATTCCCCACAACCTGCTTTTTCTAATGCATATTTGCAACGTCAAGCCTTAGAACGCACAAGAGATCGTTGCAGGCAAGATAAGAACATCTCCATTATGAACTTTAATATCAGGATATGGATTTTAATAGAACTGTCCGGAGTTGGAGTCTGAGTTGGTATCGGAGTCGGAGTCGGAGTCGGAGTCGATTTTTGAAGCCGGAGTCGGAGTCGGAGCCACCCTAAAATTCATCGACTCTGCAGGTCATGAAGGTCACCAGCAGTTTTTTTTTTTTGCTATAACTTTTTATAGAGACGTGCTAGAGCGTTGAAAACAAGTCAGATGTGTTCAGCTCGACGATACGGATCGACTAATATGCAGCTTGACCATTTCCGGTCAAGTCATGACCTTGACCTGATGGCTATAAAATTTTCAAAATGACCTTTAAACGTCACCTTAATAGATTCAACGCGTCTCCACGAGAGGAACACGATGCTGGCAAAAATAATGTTGTTGCTTTCTTGAGTCAACAGAACAACTTTTTTTCTTAAAAACAGCTATTTTTAGTTTTTGCCCTCAGGAGGGTAAACCGTAGATCTGAGATCAAATCTGAGAGCAATATTCAGAAAGGCATGTGAAAGAGCTACCCAATGCGCTTTTATGCGGCGCTGTGGCTCTATTGGTTCCCGAGTTATGCGTTGGGTGTTTCGAAAAATTGTTGAAATAGACAAAATGTGACCTTTGGTGACATCTGGTGATCTGACCTTTGACCTGATCTAAAAAAAAATGACTGAAGTATCTCCGTCATAACTTTTGACGTTCTTGCGAATGCCACTTACCGCGTGTTGCTACGTGGCCTAGGAGCCAAGTTAAATGGGGGGCGTTTACCCCCCCCCCCCAGCACGAGACGGAAAACTCAGACTCCCAGCATGGCGCGGGTTAATAGCAGTGCTCGGGCCTTAGGCATGTCTCTCAGGCCTAACCGATCAGTCTTCTTGAGCCCTGCGAAGCCCGGCCACCAAAAGGGTACGCTGTTCACACCTCACATTGCCATTCGCCACACTCGGGTATTACGGGTCTGATTTCCGTGTTTTCGCTAAGTGGGTTTTCGATTCGAAGGTAGAGTGAAGAGACTTAGCGAGTGATGTTAGCTTTTGTAAAGTCTCGTCATCTTCTGCAGAAATTGATGAAATAGTCTACTTGCTCGGAAATTCCTTCCTTCGCCCATGCGTAAAAATTTCGGTGCTCGGGGTTATGCCGAACTTTGAGCCTAAATTTCAGCGCAATCCGTCCATAACGCCGGACGGCGGACATGTCGACGGTTACATGATTTTTTTTTTTTTAAAATCTTGCTTGACACTTCCGCTCGTACAGAGCTCACTCTCGCACTCGCTTGCTTGTCGCCTAAAAGTAGTATTACAGGTCATTAAAACCTGAACCATCTTCGATGGGGGTTAATATCGAGAGAATGGAACTAAACATGAGCAGACTTGCATTTAGCTTTACCAGTTTTACTGAAGGTATTCCCACCTCTGCATTCTCGTTTGTATCATCTTACCATATTTTCCTCGTGTCCACAGGCTGAGTGACACTTCCTCCGGTACAATGAAGTCGATCCTGTCTGGCCGGGCGGCCAGCGACTGGTCCAAGTCTCCCGATCAGACCCTGTTTCGCGAGCTGCACTGGTTCGTCAGCAAGGCGCCGCCGAGCGCCACAATGCGCGGGCCGCTGGCCGCCCGCCTGGAGCGGCTGTCGCGGCCGGAGCGGCGCGCGCTGGTCTCCCAGGTGGGCGCCGAGGACGGGTGCTCGCCGCTGTTCCTGGCCGCCAAGGAGGGCCAGCTGGCGCTGGTCGAGTACCTGCTGGACGTCTGTGACGCCGACATCGAGCAGCGCGGCGAGTACGAGGTGGCCAACGACCGGACGCGCCACCGTGTGACGCCGCTGTGGTGCGCCGCCGTGGCCGGCCGGCTGCCGGTGGTGCGCTGCCTGTGCCGCCACGGCGCCGACGTGAACTGCCAGTCGGACTCGGGCTCGACGCCGGTCCGCTCCGCCTGCTTCATGACCCACCTGGACATAGTGGTGTACCTGGTGACGGAGGCCGGCGCCGACATCCTGCGGCCCAACCACAGCGGCGGCACGTGCCTCATCAACTCGGTGCAGAGCGAGCCGCTGTGCGACTTTCTGATCCAGCACGGCGCGCAGGTGAACGCTGTGGACATCCAGCACAAGTCGGCGCTGCACTACGCCATCCAGGAGCACCGCGAGGAGACCACCCGGCTGCTGCTGCGACACGGCGCCGACCCGTTCGTACTCAGCAAGTGAGTGCCGGCCGCCGCCCACCGGGCCGCGGCATTCACTATTCATGCCCGTTTAGGGTCCGTTGTGGCCCGTTTGGGGTCCGTTGTGAAGCATGCCATCATTTCAAACATTCATGATTGATGCCATATGCTTTGGCATCAGTGATGAATGCTTTGCCGTTTCATATCATTCAATTTCTTTGCAAATGCCTCTGATTTTATCATAGTCAGACG